GGAGACACATGTAGCAGGTGCTGGGACACATGTAGCAGGTGCTGGGGACACATGTAGCACGTGCGGGGACACATGTACATGTACATGTATCAGGTGCTGGAGACACAGGTAGCAGGTGCTGGGGACACATGTAGCAGGTGCTGGGGACACAGGTAGCAGGTGCTGGGGACACATGTAGCAGGTGCTGGAGACACATGTAGCAGGTGCTGGGGACACATGTAGCAGGTGCTGGGGACACATGTAGCAGGTGCTGGAGACACATGTAGCAGGTGCTGGGGACACATGTAGCAGGTGCTGGGGACACATGTAGCAGGTACTGGGGACACATGTAGCAGGTGCTGGAGACACATGTAGCAGGTGCTGGGGACACATGTAGCAGGTGCTGGGGACACATGTAGCAGGTGCTGGGGACACATGTAGCAGGTGCTGGAGACACTGGGGACACATGTAGCAGGTGCTGGGGACACATGTAGCAGGTGCTGGGGACACATGTAGCAGGTGCTGGGGACACATGTAGCAGGTGCTGGGGACACATGTAGCAGGTACTGGGGACACATGTAGCAGGTGCTGGGGACACATGTAGCAGGTGCTGGGGACACATGTAGCAGGTGCTGGGGACACATGTAGCAGGTACTGGGGACACATGTAGCAGGTGCTGGGGACACATGTAGCAGGTACTGGGGACACATGTAGCAGGTACTGGGGACACATGTAGCAGGTGCTGGGGACACATGTAGCAGGTGCTGGGGACACATGTAGCAGGTACTGGGGACACATGTAGCAGGTGCTGGGGGTAGCAGGTGCTGGGGACACATGTAGCAGGTGCTGGGGACACATGTAGCAGGTGCTGGGGACACATGTAGCAGGTGCTGGAGACACATGTAGCAGGTGCTGGGGACACATGTAGCAGGTGCTGGGGACACATGTAGCAGGTGCTGGGGACACATGTAGCAGGTGCTGGGGACACATGTAGCAGGTGCTGGGGACACATGTAGCAGGTGCTGGGGACACATGTAGCAGGTGCTGGGGACACATGTAGCAGGTGCTGGGGACACATGTAGCAGGTGCTGGGGACACATGTAGCAGGTGCTGGGGACACATGTAGCAGGTGCTGGGGACACATGTAGCAGGTGCTGGGGACACATGTAGCAGGTGCTGGGGACACATGTAGCAGGGTACTGGGGACACATGTAGCAGGTGCTGGGGACACATGTAGCAGGTGCTGGGGACACATGTAGCAGGTGCTGGGGACACATGTAGCAGGTACTGGGGACACATGTAGCAGGACACATGTAGCAGGTGCTGGGGACACATGTAGCAGGTGTACTGGGGACACATGTAGCAGGTACTGGGGACACATGTAGCAGGTGCTGGGGACACATGTAGCAGGTGCTGGGGACACATGTAGCAGGTACTGGGGACACATGTAGCAGGTACTGGGGACACATGTAGCAGGTGCTGGGGACACATGTAGCACGTGCTGGGGGACACATGTAGCAGGTGCTGGGGACACATGTAGCAGGTGCTGGGGACACATGTAGCAGGTGCTGGAGGACACAGGTAGCAGGTGCTGGGGACACATGTAGCAGGTGCTGGGGACACATGTAGCAGGTGCTGGGGACACATGTAGCAGGTGCTGGGGACACAGGTAGCAGGTGCTGGGGACACATGTAGCAGGTGCTAGGGACACATGTAGCAGGTGCTGGAGGACACAGGTAGCAGGTGCTGGGGACACAGTGTAGCAGGTGCTAGGGGACACAGGTAGCAGGTGCTGGGGACACAGGTAGCAGGTGCTGGGGACACATGTAGCAGGTGCTGGGGACACAGGTAGCAGGTGCTGGGGACACATGTAGCAGGTGCTGGGGACACATGTAGCAGGTGCTAGGGACACATGTAGCAGGTGCTGGGGACACATGTAGCAGGTGCTGGGGACACATGTAGCAGGTGCTGGGGACACATGTAGCAGGTGCTGGGGACACATGTAGCAGGTGGTGGGGACACATATAGCAGGTGCTGGGGACACATGTAGCAGGTGCTGGGGACACATGTAGCAGGTACTGGGGACACATGTAGCAGGTGCTGGGGACACATGTAGCAGGTGCTGGGGACACATGTAGCAGGTGCTAGGGACACAGGTAGCAGGTGCTGGGGACACATGTAGCAGGTGCTGGGGACACATGTAGCAGGTGGTGGGGACACATATAGCAGGTGCTAGGGACACATGTAGCAGGTGCTAGGGACACATGTAGCAGGTGCTGGGGACACATGTAGCACGTGCTAGGGACACATGTAGCACGTGCTAGGAACACATGTAGCAGGTGGTGGGGACACATATAGCAGGTGCTGGGGACATATGTAGCAGGTGCTGGGGACACATGTAGCAGGTGCTGGGACACATGTAGCATGTGCTAGGGACACATGTAGCACGTGCTAGGGACACATATAGCAGGTGGTGGGGACACATGTAGCAGGTGCTGGGACACATGTAGCAGGTGCTAGGGACACATGTAGCACGTGCTAGGGACACATATAGCAGGTGGTGGGGACACATATAGCAGGTACTGGGGACACATGTAACAGGTGCTGGGGACACATGTAGCAGGTGCTGGAGACACATGTAGCAGGTGCTGGAGACACATGTAGCAGGTGCTGGGGACACATGTAGCAGGTGCTGGGGACACATGTAGCAGGTACTGGGGACACATGTAGCAGGTGCTGGAGACACATGTAGCAGGTGCTGGGGACACATGTAGCAGGTGCTGGGGACACATGTAGCAGGTACTGGAGACACATGTAGCAGGTGCTGGGGACACATGTAGCAGGTACTGGGGACACATGTAGCAGGTGTTGGGGACACATGTAGCGGGTACTGGGGACACATGTAGCAGGTACTGGGGACACATGTAGCAGGTGCTGGGGACACATGTAGCAGGTGGTGGGGACACATATAGCAGGTGCTGGGGACACATGTAGCAGGTGCTGGGGATACATGTAGCACGTGCTGGAGGACACATATAGCACGTGCTGGAGGACACATATAGCACGTGCTGGGGGACACATGTAGCAGGTGCTGGGGACACATATAGCAGGTGCTGGGGACACATGTAGCAGGTGCTGGGGATACATGTAGCACGTGCTGGAGGACACATATAGCACGTGCTGGAGGACACATATAGCACGTGCTGGGGGACACATGTAGCAGGTGCTGGGGACACATGTAACAGGTGCTGGGGGACACAGATAGCCTCTATGAATCTACAGTATATTATTGTATACATTGGAGATTCGTATCTAGTTAATACAAAGTAATTGTCAGTTTCAGGAGAGTAAAAAGAGTTATTGTTAATTATTTTGTTAGTCTACCCACTATGCAGCTAATACATTAATCATACTTCATGTATCTACTAGAAGCGAACCAATGGATACAATGCAAGAATTTCAGGTATTTTATCGTTTGTAATTAGATGGCGGGTCATTCCATGTAGCGTGAGTTTATATCTCTCTCTCTTATGGACCCAATGGTTCCATAGTGTAAAGTATGATGATAATGTGATGATGTGATGATGATGTGAAGTGCGCATCACGTATTCACACTGCCACTTTGCATCTCGCTAGACGAGATGCAAAGTGGCATTCAAGCTGCGACATCTTCCGTCACTACTACCTTTTTTACCGCTCCAGTCTTTAGTTAGACACATGTCATTGTAAACAAAAATAATGAATCCGCTAGACCCCTGTTTATAACCCTTTTCTACTTGAAATTCTTCTAAGAGCTATGTTGTTTAATACTTTTTTTTTGAGATCTATTTCACGGCCCAAACATTACGTTCAACATTGTGAACGTTGTGAAAATTTTACTGGCAGCTGAGGGAGATGATGATGTACCGGACAGGTAATGGGCCGGGAGCACCTCGGATATATTACTACATAAAGCGGGTGTTTACAAATTTACAGAGGTGTTGGGTGTGCTTGATGCCTGTGCCGCCAGCCATGATTTATGGAGCGACTGTGTCCTCCACCACACACACCTGGCCTTTGTCACACACCCGGCCTCCAGCACACACCCGGCCTCCAGCACACACCCGGCCTCCAGCACACACCCGGCCTCCAGCACACACCCGGCCTCCACCACACACCTGGCCTCCACCACACACCCGGCCTCCACCACACACCCGGCCTCCACCACACACCCGGCCTCCAGCACACACCCGGCCTCCACCACACACCCGGCCTCCACCACACACCCGGCCTCCACCACACACCCGGCCTCCACCTCACACCCGGCCTCCACCACACACCCGGCCTCCACCACACACCCGGCCTCCACCACACACCTGGCCTCCACCACACACCTGGCCTTTGTCACACACCCGGCCTCCACCACACACCTGGCCTCCACCACACACCTGGCCTTTGTCACACACCCGGCCTCCACCACACACCCGGCCTCCAAGACACACCCGGCCTCCACCACACACCCGGCCTCCACAACCTGGGGCCAAGAAGGGCACTCAACGTCAAATTTATATATATATATATATATATATATATATATATATATATATATATATATATATATATATATATATATATATATATATATATATATATATATATATATATATATATATATATATATATATATATATATATATATATATATATATATATATATATATATATATATATATATATATGTTACTAGGTAATTTGTTCCATAATTCAAGAATCCTATTTCCAAACCAGTATTTACCCAGGTCTCTCCTAAATGTAAACTTAACCAATTTGTATTCATTGTTTCGTCAAATGTTTATTTTTAATATATTTAAAACCTAGCTTATATGCCCCATTAAAGATAAGAAGTTTAACGAGAGATAAACAGACCGAGGTATTCAGGAAAACCATTTTTGGAAATATTAGTTCTAATTAATATATCGATTCTGATGACGCACGTCTTAGACTAACACACACACATTCGTGTTACTGAATATCTCCCGAAGCTATTTGTACAATTTAGCTGCGCCTGAAGGACGAGTGACGTTGGAGCTGCCTTCATCATTACTGGAAGGAACGTGAGGACGAGTGACGTTGGAGCTGCCTTCATCATTACTGGAAGGAACGTGAGGACGAGTGACGTTGGAGCTGCCTTCATCATTACTGGAAGGAACGTGAGGACGAGTGACGTTGGAGCTGCCTTCATCAATACTGGAAGGAACGTGAGGACGAGTGACGTTGGAGCTGCCTTCATCATTACTGGAAGGAACGTGAGGACGAGTGACGTTGGAGCTGCCTTCATCATTACTGGAAGGAACGTGAGGACGAGTGACGTTGGAGCTGCCTTCAACATTACTGGAAGGAACGTGAAAGGAAGACATTGTGCTACAGCCGCCATGCAGGACGAGGTGGAGTGGAGTGTTGCACAGTTGATGTTCACTAGAGACAGTAGTTATGGTATGAGGTAAGTCTGTCTTGGTGTAGAGGATGGTAAGGTGTAGCTAAGTGTAACCTGGCTGTTGGTAGTGGCACGAGTGTTTGATATGTAGTGCCTCGGCTATGTCTCATCTTCTAGTGTTGTGAGTTTAGATTATTTCGTTAATGTTAGGATCTCGCTGGTGCTGTTGTGTATGTAGGAGCGGTGTGATCGTTGGTGGGGGCTTGTGGGTTATGTATAATTAGACGCTTTGAAACATCTATTGAATTCCTTCAATAATGAAGTTGTTAGAGCTGATAGTCCTCATAATGTCTGATGACAGTCTGATCGTATACGCGACATTCCTCTCTTCCAAGACGTTTCGTTTAGTGTCGAGATTTCTGCATTGTTCTCTGAGTTCTTAGAATTCTCAGTGAGAATTCTCAGAGAATTCAGAGAGTTCTGAGAGTTCTCAGAAAATTCAGAGAGTTCTGAGAGTTCTCAGAGTTCTCAAATTGGCGATATTCTTGCTTGTGTAGTAGATTGTGAACTATATCTTCTGGTTAATGTCAGTAGCGATCATATTTCTGTGAGTGATGTCTTCCCTCCGTTATACGGGTCGCTGAAGGAAGTTCCCGTGGGAGATTATATAATGGTTGGGACATATTGTGTAGTGTTGATTACCTCGTCAGATGAAGCAAGCTCTTCACCTTTCTTTTAATTACCTCTTCAACATTTCCGTTGCAGGATTCATTGTTAGAAGGAACCTAACCTTCCTCCGCTGAGTTCCTGGTCAACCTGCCTCCCTCTGCCGAGTTCCAGGTCAACCTGCCTCCCTCTGCCGAGGTCCAGGTCAACCTGCCTCCCTCTGCCGAGTTCCAGGTCAACCTGCCTCCCTCTGCCGAGTTCCAGGTCAACCTGCCTCCCTCTGCCGAGTTCCAGGTCAACCTGCCTCCCTCTGCCGAGTTCCAGGTCAACCTGCCTCCCTCTGCCGAGTTCCAGGTCAACCTGCCTGCCTCTGCCGAGTTCCAGGTCAACCTGCCTCCAGCTGCAGGTGTGAGAGGCGACGGGGGACAAAGACGTCCTCAGCACTCCGCTTGTACCTGTCAGGGCACCCAGTAACACGCATTCCTATCGTGCTTCCCTTAGTGTAGACTGCAATGTGAAAGAATTCCTTTTCCGAGGTTGTAACATCTAAGACAGGCGGCTTGCCTTCACTCTTCATCTCGCAAGAGAAACTAAGCAGACGGAACTTCGCTCGAAGACGTCCTTAAGCTGTAGCAAGAGTTCCATGTGAGGGTCCAGAAAGAATCATCAACGTACCTACAGTAGATGTTTAGGTTTTAGGGTCATGTTGACAAATATTTTCTCCTCAATAGTACCCATGTAAACGTTGGCAAATAGGACACACGGAGGTCGACCCATCCTCACACTAGGCTGTTTAAAGCAGCGGCCGTCCTCCCCAGACCCATTCATAAATTTTAACATACTGTGCATTCAACATTGGTTTTTTCTCATATATAAATTTATATTATTATACATAAAAATTATATATATATATAGTTAGGCGTAGGTTAGGTGTTTAGGGTCCTGTTGGCGATTATTTGTATTTGTAGTACGTGGGTGAAGCATTTATAGAATTGTGGTTCGAACAGAGCACGTGAACGAAACACTTGTTCCGGAAGTGTTCGGACGTCATCAGTTGTGAGTCGTGTGTAAACTGTTTTTCATTCATAATCAGGGGGTTTAGCGGCTGGATGGAATCACTTTTGGATCTTTGTTTGGAGGACGAGTTGCTATAAATGCTTCACCCGCATTCTTCAAATACAAATAATCGCCAACAGAACCTAAACACCTAACCTAACCAGTGCCTAAATATGTACAATATGGTAATATAAAATAATATTAATTTGTATTTGAGAAAATTCCTGTTTTGAATGAACAGAATGTTAAAATTTATGGATCCGTCTTTGGGGTCGACCACTGGAGGCAACCCGTCCTCGACTCAAGTCCATTCCATCCAGCGGTCAACCCCACAGACGCATTCATAAATTTTAACATGCTGTTCATTCAAAACGGGAATTTTCTCAAGTACAAGTTAATGTTATAATATATTAGCATATTGTGCATATATAGGCATAGGATAGGTTAGGTCAGGTGTTTAGGTTCTGTTGGCGATTATTTGTATTTGTAGTACGTGGGTGAAGCATTTATAGCGTTGTGGTTCGAACAAAATTCGTCAGTGAAGCACTTGTTCCGGATATGTTCGAACGTCAGCAGTTGTGAGTCGTGTGTAAACCGCTTTTCATTCATAAACAGGGGGTTTGGCGGGTGCATGGAATCACTTTTGGATCTTTGTTTGGAGGACGGGCTGCTGGATGCAATGGACTTGAGTCGAGGACAGATTGGAATGAGCTCACTCCGTCACTCCGACTCCATTCCTATCGATTATCTTGCATCTTACTGCTGGCGTATTGACATCCTAAATCATATCTGGGATGTCTTGAATATTCTGTGACAGTGTAGGCATCCACCAGTCTCGGGAGACTATGGAGTTGCGCTCTGGTGGTCGGTCTGGAGAGAGGTAGTATAGGAGAGAGCTCCTCCTGTACAATGTTGCGTAGTCATAATGAGTTCTTTCTTTTGATAATTACGCGCTAGTCTTAACTGTCAGGAGCGAAGCTGATGACCAATTTGCGGTTCACAACTTGTTAGTCTTCAAGTTCAAGTAAGTTTACTGAGACAAGGAAACAAATACATCTCAAAAGGATAGAGTAGCTTAGGCTACTTCTACCCCCCTTGTTAGTCTTTATATTATGTTTGAGTTAAGACTTCGTAGTCAGGGGGGGGGGGAGGGTGGTGTAAAAGTGAGGTACGGGGATGAGGCTTCACACACACCAGGGGAATGCTTACACGTGTCATTTGTATTTTGAAAATTGTCTCTGGAATTCATATGCTAGCAATAAATGATGTGTGAAAGACCGAACTACGTCATTACGATGTCATGTTGCTCCGCCTTACATGTCTCGTCCGCTGTGTCACGTCCTCGTCTCTGTAACCCACCACCACCAGCTGCTGCTGCTGCTGCTGCTCTGTATCACCGCACACTACAGCACACACTACAGGCTTAACATTTATTAACAGTTATACTCATAAGTAATGCTAATACAGCAGTATAGCATACAGTATGCAGCTAATAGTGTCCAGAACGAGGCAAGCTGTAGTTGAAGTGGGTCGTAGTACCCACTAGTTGAAGTGGGTCGTAGTACCCACTAGTTGAAGTGGGTCGTAGTACCCACTAGTTGAAGTGGGTCGTAGTGCCCACTAGTTGAAGTGGGTCGTAGTGCCCACTAGTTGAAGTGGGTCGTAGTACCCACTAGTTGAAGTGGGTCGTAGTACCCACTAGTTGAAGTGGGTCGTAGTGCCCACTAGTTGAAGTGGGTCGTAGTACCCACTAGTTGAAGTGGGTCGTAGTGCCCACTAGTTGAAGTGGGTCGTAGTACCCACTAGTTGAAGTGGGTCGTAGTACCCACTAGTTGAAGTGGGTCGAAGTACCCACTAGTTGAAGTGGGTCGTAGTACCCACTAGTTGAAGTGGGTCGTAGTGCCCACTGGTTGAAGTGGGTCGTAATACCCACTAGTTGAAGTGGGTCGTAGTGCCCACTAGTTGAAGTGGGTCGAAGTACCCACTAGTTGAAGTGGGTCGAAGTACCCACCAGTTGATAGTTGAAGTGGGTCGTAGTACCCACTAGTTGAAGTGGGTCGTAGTACCCACTAGTTGAAGTGGGTCGTAGTACCCACTAGTTGAAGTGGATCGTAGTATCCACTAGTTGAAGTGGGTCGTAGTACCCACTAGTTGAAGTGGGTCGTAGTACCCACTAGTTGAAGTGGGTCGTAGTGCCCACTAGTTGAAGTGGGTCGTAGTACCCACTAGTTGAAGTGGGTCGTAGTGCCCACTAGTTGAAGTGGATCGTAGTACCCACTAGTTGAAGTGGGTCGTAGTACCCACTAGTTGAAGTGGGTCGTAGTACCCACTAGTTGAAGTGGGTCGTAGTACCCACTAGTTGAAGTGGGTCGAAGTACCCACTAGTTGAAGTGGGTCGTAGTACCCACTAGTTGAAGTGGATCGTAGTACCCACTAGTTGAAGTGGATCGTAGTACCCACTAGTTGAAGTGGGTCGTAGTACCCACTAGTTGAAGTGGATCGTAGTACCCACTAGTTGAAGTGGATCAGTGTAGATAAATACACTTGATAATACATAAATGAAATATATCGGAGGGAACCTTGCAGGTGCTCGTCTATGCAGCTTCCACCCCAATATTTCCAGCAGCAACGTTATTTAACGTAAGACAATAATTTACAAACTGAGGATTGCATTGACTAGTGAAGAGGTTGTGGCTAGTCCACGACCTCGTCAGAGGCTGGGGAGAAATTGAGGATGCAGTAAGCGTTTCTCCTCTGTATCGCCACTCTGATGTGCTGGAACTGGAAACTGGCAGCCCTCGGGTCCTCCTGGTCGAGTCGATGGGCCCAGGTAGTCAGCTCATTTATGGAAGCTCCTTGGACCTAGAGGCCAATTAATGGACTTTGATCTGATGGAAACGATTGAAGGTGTGCCTCTGATTCAATGGCGAGTACTTGTCGGGTACCCTGCCTGTCTAACCAACACTGAAGGAGATACAGGTATCAACCAGGGCAGATACACGTGTGTACTCCCACACCAGCTATCTGCCATTTTTCCAGTGAAATACTGTGACTTCACTCCCTGGAAACACAAACCGAAACTGTCTATTTTCCGCTTGTTACAACTTGTAATAAAGTTGTTATATCTTGGCTTAACGTGTTTATGACGTATTAGAACGTTGTTACAACTTGCTATATTGGTTGTTATAACTGGTTAGGTGTTAAAACTTGTTCGAACGTTGTACCAACGTCGTAGTTATGGTGTGTGTTTGGCGGGCGTGG